TTTTGGAGATCAGGCCGGGGCTCAGTCGAGCCCTCGCGGGGCGCAATTAGGGGCGGCTCCGTGGAGTCCCGGACGCCTGGCTCTCGGAGGAAGCCAGCAGGGAGCCCACAATTAGCGGGCCTGCCAGAAGCGGCTGAGGTGGACACCCCTGCAGCACTCAGGCGGCCCCCGAGCTTCCCGCCAAGCCGGATGGGATTCCTGGCCAGCCGGCCACAGGGTGGGGGCGGCTCCCTCGCTGGGGCTGCTTGGCCTCCCCGGCCGGCTGGCCAGTCCAGCCTTTCCAGGGCCAAATCCTGCAGCCTGCGATTCGCACAGCCCCGGTCCAGAGGAGCGCCGTCGCCCCGGTGGACGGGGGGCTGGGAGGGGTAAGCCCCTTTTGATGCCCAGAAAGCAGCGCTTCCTCTCCTGCTCCGGGCGTGGGAAAATGGGCAGAGGTCCTGGGATGGCCAAGCATGTGGGGGGGGGGCAGGAGGCAGCAGGAGGCGCCCAGGGCACCACGGACTGGCTCGGGGAGACGCGTGGCCGGCTCGGCTGCCCAGGCAGGGAGCAGCCTGGGGACAGCCCAGGGAGCGATGCCCCCGCCGGCTGCCGCCCCAGCAAGGACTGTCACGCGGCCCAGCCCGGGGAGACACGTGGCCAGCTCGGCTGCGCAGGGAGCGGCCTGGGGACAGGCCAGGAAGCAATGCTCCAGCCAGGACTGCTGCCTGGTACAGGTAAGCTGGGGGGGTGCCAACCGCCCCGTGGCCGCTTCGCGGCGGTGCTCTGCGGACTCAGAGCTCCCTCCCTCCCCCCCTGCCACTGACCTTCCATCTCCAGCTCTGCTGCTGCTTGGCCAAAGGTTGTGCCGGCTGGACATCACAGGGGCTGCTCTCTCTCGGGGCTGCAGCTTACGGGAGGGCTGGCCCACTCAGCAAAGGCTCCGGGGGGGGGTTGCTCCCAGCGGGGATCCCGGGGCTTCCCCGCATGGCTCCCCAGCCACGTGCGCCTGGGACGGGGCCAGCCCGGGAAAGGGACTTCCTGGCCGCCCTTCTCCCAGGGGGCGGGACACCCGGGCGCAGGGCCAATGAGGAGCCCTGCGAGGGGGCAAGTCCCATGAGAGAGAGAGAGAGACAGAGACAGAAGTGCAAGTGCAAGTGCCTCTGTCTCTGTCTCTGTCTCTCTCTCTCTCATGGGACTTGCCGGAGGGCCGTGGGAGGGCCGCATTTACATAGAGCAGGGAGGGCTGTTCGAGGGCCGGATTAAACCGGAACGCGGGCCGCAAATGGCCCGCGGGCCGGACTTTGGACATGTCTGTTCTATAGGCTTCAGGCTGTCCTTGCTATGAAAAAATAGACCCATAGGACCCAACCTCCATCCCTTGGATCTGGCTATTAACTAGCATTTCAATGCTGATTTTTTGTTTAGACTAATTCCATAGAGAAATTAGCTACCGTGTCCCTTATTCTTTGATCTGCCTTGAGCCATATTCCATTCTGATGCTCTCACCACCAGCACCAGCACCTCCTAATATTAGAAATACCATATGGGAATCCTCTCATTTAGACCAAGGCAATATGAGCTTCACCTAGAGCTTACTCAGTCTTCTGAGGGAAATAATAAGCATCATTTGGTTCAAAACTGTGGATCCTGTTCTGTTTCTTTGAAGCTCTTATGGTTTCTATTATCTACTCCATCTGAAGTTGTAGTTGAAAAGGTGCTCTTGGGAAGGAAAAGCAGTGGAACCAAAACTGCAATTACACACATATTGCCCATGTGAACAAAACATTTATATTACACTTGCTTAAGATAGTAGGAAAATCAGAAAAAAAATTCAAGGCTAGGCATATGTATTCCAAAACAATCACCACAGGTTATTGTAAGTATAATGAGTAGGAGATTATTTCCAAATAAATGTACTTTGGATTGGGATCTAATGTTAATTCACACTATTTATCATTTGTCACAATATGATACTCTTTCTGCTAAAGCAAAGGAGTTTTTCCCAATACAAAAATTACATTTTAATCCATGGATAAAGGTATTTTTAAACCTTTGATTGAAATTACTACTATCAAATATCAGCTTGTAACACTTGCTTTTACTGATAAAGGAAATGAATTTAAAATATTGCTGATTTTGAGATAGTGTTTACCTAGTGAAAAACTAGCAATTGAGGCCATCATTAAAATCATTGGTATCCAATTATCCCCATTTGCATTAATTTCTACTGAATTTTTATGACTTATGACCAGTGTCTTAATGACATGCAAAGTTATGACAGACCTCTCCCTAAAGTTACTCATGACCTATTTTTGAAGTTACAACAGTGCTCACACATTCATGCACACACACAGTCATGTGACTTCATTTTGGGCACTTAGCAACTGGTTCACTTTTATGGGCCTTTGCACTACCCCATGGTCACTTTACTACAATTTGCAACATTTTTTGCTGGTGGCATTTACTTCCAGTTTTCCAGCAAAAATACCCATTGGAGAAAACGGATTTGCTTAACAACCATGGTGTTCGTTTAACAACTGCCACAAAAAATATTGAAAAATTGGATCTGGCCATGTGATGACTTAATTTGCAACTGCAATGACTTACAGCTGCAATTCTGGCCTTAATTATGGTCATAAAGGTGAAGACTACCTATACTAATATACTATGTTACCTCCAAACATGTTAAGAAAGAAAGAAAAACCCAGTCATACAACAAAAGACTCTTGCTTGCATTTATTTACTTAATAGTGCTTGGCAAATTAGTCATACTGCCTTTGACCAAGCCTCCTTCCAAGCCTTCTATGCTTCAGTTGCAATCCTAGTGGAACTGTCGTGTCACCAAGCAAGGTGGGAAGACCCTCAAAACAGACATGTACTAAGCCTTCAAGAGCATATAGCCTTCAACACCTCAGTATGTTCAGAGAAGAATATTGATCACTTCACAAAATGAACCTGCAAAAGGTATACACGGTTTGCAATAGTGGTGAATATCTGTACATGGGGTGTAGAATGAGGATGAAGGTTCGTTTTCTGAGCTTGTGGGTTGGTTTCTGAACATTTCATTACCAGGCTAGGTAACATCTTCAGCAGAGTTTAGGGAAGGGGTGCCAAACTGCTGGCCCGCGGGCCAGATGCATCATAGCAAAACCGCACCTATCCCATTGCCAGCAATGGCAAAAAAAGTCGCGATATGATGGTTCAGGGGATGTCAGTGTTCACCTCCCAATGACCCTGACCTGATGTAACCTCCCCATAACAAGACCCATCACAAGACTCACTGATGACTCACACCTGACTCATCACAAGACCCATCACAGACCCTCATTTGACACACCCACACCTGAAGCCCTTCTAAATAGAAGAACGCTAACATCCCCCTAAACTCCGCTGAAGATATTACCTAGCCTGGTAATGAAACGTTTGGAAACCAACCCACAAGCTTGGAGAACGAACCTTCACACTCAGGTATACACAAGTTTGATATCTGTTTATAAATAGCATGCGACACACAATATTTCTCACAAACACACACACACACTTAAACTTCCAAGCAAGCCTTCATTAATTCTATGTAATTTTTAGGCACTTCTATATTTTTGTAATGTGTAGATAAACAAAATATATCCACTGTACCTTTCAGGGAAACCCAATACTGTTTCCATTTCCTCCGTGTGGCCAACTCCACCTTCTTGTTCTTTTTGTGGACAAGGAAGTTTTTCACTGCAAGAGCTCCAGCCTTCCTTACGGTTCCCTGCCCAGCTGTAAGAAGAATATCCGACTGTCCTGGGGAACTCAAAGTCCCACTGCTCTGTTCATCACTCAAGGTAGAGCCAGCCTCATCCAAATTGTCATTGGTGCTGCTCAACTCCAACTCTCGGCGAAAGTTCTCATAGATTCCCTGACGTGCCCCATCTCCAGTTGAAGAACTGCCACTGTCACTGCCAGCAAAGGCTCGGCTGGTGGTTGGTGAATAGCTGGAGTTTGTCGCATTGGAACGTCTAGAAAGGAGGTCTGTGTCTGTCGTTGCACCCTCAATTCCACTGTCAGCAAATTCACTCCCATCTCCTGTATTAACATCCTATTTAATATAAATAAATAAAAGCAACATGAATAAGTTCTCCAACTCGGTCTAGTTACTAAAAGCTTTATTTTTGCAGTTAAATTCTATTCTTTGTTGTCTACATAGAGTAGTTTCATCCAACTTAGCACTCATAATGACCACCTAGTACAGGAACCTTCATTCAGAAATCAGTAAGCATATCATTTATAGTTCTACGTAAAATATATTTATCTTACTTGCTAGTTATTTAAAAAAAACATTCCTTGGGCCCTAATAAACATTTTTATTAATAAATTTAACAATCAAATAAAATAGTTTAATAGATTTATTGGAAACAAGTGCATTTTAAAAGTTTAATATTTGTAACTATTGTGGATTTCAGAAGGAGAGATATAACCATTTGACCTTAAGTTTTAAGCTATTCATTCAGCATTTTAAATTGATCTAAAATAGTAATATAAGTACAGAAAATTAAAATGGAAGCTCTTCTGGTCCTTGCTGATGCTGAATTTTATGGTTGTTTTCTTGCAGTTGCTGATGATACTCACAAGCCAGAGGTGGCATTGCGTAAATAATAGTAATAATTGTGTACTAAATTAAAACAGTATTTTTAAAAGATAGACAAATTCATCAAATTTAAGTACTCTAAAATCACATTTTGTATTATTTATTTGTTAAAATATATTTATGCTTCTTCTATGTCATCAGGTAAAAGTGCTGTAGAAAAGAAAATTATTAAAATAAGTAAAATACAGTCAAACAATACAAAATTCAACATTGCTATAAACATGAAATGAAAGGAAGGAAGGATTTATAATATACATCAAATATTCAAGATCCTTAGCCATGCAGGCATCTAAAAACTAAATGCAGAATATTCATCATTTTTAGCATCAGAATATTTTTTACAATTTATTGCGATTAAGGCTCATCAGTTGGTCGTATATTTAAGATCACAGCAGCAAAAGAATCCATACACTGGGAAGTCTGGATAACACAAGTGATAACAAGAAAATCGTGTCTTTTAGAATATATATGTACAAATAATTTGTTTAGAGATCTTATTTTCCCTTGCAGAGATGATTATAAAGGACAATAAAACAAATAATGATTTTTAGACTGGAATTGGCTCAAGTAGACTTGAGCCTTCCTGCCAGAAGGAAGTTAACCCATCAATCACTGCCATTGACAAAGATTGCTTTCAGGTTTTGGATATCTGATATAGCTTTTATGGTTATATTTATTTAAATAACAGGCCCTCTGGTACAGTAATCTATTTTTCACCTCCTGTACCATGTAGCAAATTCAAAAATTATTATAGTTTGCCCCAATGTGCGTGTATTAGCCAAATATACATGCCTTAATATATATGTATTAACCATAACAATACCCCCACTATACACATATAGACATCAGCATGTAGTGGTTAAGGTCTGGACTAAAGGTTGTAGTTCTTGCTTATGCGTAGAAGCCAGCCGGGTGATTTTCAGCCAGTTAGTCTCTCCCAACTTTAACCTGAGAAATAAAAAAAGGCTATCTAACAACCCTGATTGGGCCAGAGAGATAAATTATGGTCTACAAATTTCAATTAACAGGCATTCATCCTGAAATGGATTTATTTGGGATGATAATAATGTTGGTGATTGACACATGCACACATGAGTGTACGTACAAATGGACTACTTAGAGTGATTCAGCAGAGAATTATTCTTTCTCTGCCTTAAATCTCCATCCATGCTAATTTCCAACTTTAGAAAGCAATCCACAGATACGAACTTAAGCCAGAAGTGTAAAGAGTTTAAAACATTTCTTAAGGAACTTTGCACTGAACATGTTTGTTCTTTATCTCATGAATACAAATTACTAGAATATAAAACCGATAAAATATTTTATTTTGAAATAAATTTTGGATTGTATTAATATTCAACAACTGTAACATATTGCTAATCTTCTTTAAATTAAAAATCACCCTCATAAAAACACAAAAATTTAAGATCTTTTTTTGAGGTGGGGTTGAAATCAACCTTAATATAGCAAGGATGTCTGGTATCTGCTACACATTTTAGATGCATTCTTATATATTAAAAGTGCATATGTTGTATCAGTTCAGTTTCCCATCATTTTTCTCCAAAGTAAATGCACGTGAAAAAGCTGCAGAATTTCGGTATACATTTTCATATGGCTAATTTTGTTGGTGAATTATATATTCTTAAGATATGACCGTAATAATAGAGCACTTGGGTTCAAAAATAAAAGAAACAAATTCCCCAGCAAAAGTTAATTTCTTTCCAATATGACTGAATGCTGTGAATAAACCAAATGCTTGAGCTGATCATTAGGCAGAATTCCATTTGAAGTAGTGAGGAATAAACACATAAATTGCAACCAAGACATTTCTGAATGCCTGTAAAACTGTGAATCGTGTCTGGCTGATTAGGAATGTTTTCAAGAATAAATGCTCCCCTTGCATATCCTGAAAACATTTTGGAATTCTGATATAAACAAAATAACTCAGACCCTTGGGATTATCATACAAATGATTCTCACAAAGAGGCACAGAAACAGCAAACATGAACTTTCAGGGCAAATTTCCATAAATAGCAGTGGATAACTGTGGGACTGTGCTACATTCAGTGAAATTAGAGCAATCAGCTGTTCCCAGACAGTCTGAATGACCTTCAGATAGACTGTTAGGGACTAAGTCTGGACATGCAAACTGCTGCATTGTCATACTTTTTCATGCATATAAACAGGAACAGGAACTTGAAGAATTGGAGCTTTGTTCTGTTCAATTCTGGTCACTGAACAGCAAAAATTACAGTTGTATAAAAACAATTTCTCGGTTCCTGGAAATAAATTATTTTAATTTTTTTTTTCACTGTCAGATACAGATTGAAATTATAACAAAAGTTTTTAAAAGAGGCAAATAGGTGGTGAATTTATTTTAACTATTTTGTGGTATCAGGATCAGAGGATTCCAGTTCTAGGACTGGACAAGTGGCTGGTGATTAGCCACGAATATACTATCAGCTTTATTTCAATGTTGGATTTATGTCAGCTTTTGAGCAACACAAACCCTGGAGCTTAGATTGGGCCAAACTGTCAAAATTGATTAAAAATGAGAATCTCTCTGAGGATTATATATTTCTTGTGGTTAGTGCTAAGGAAAAATGTGTCAACTTTATAAGTAATTAACTTATGATTTTATCACTATACAACCTTTACTTGAATGATTTAAACATTTCTGGCTAAATAAAGTATAGATACGTTAATAATGTTTCTCTTCTTATTTTGATAAAGTTTTTCAGATGTTGATTTTTTTCATTTTTCTAATAATCCAGAATATTATCTAGAGTATAGGCAACTAGAGTTAGGTTATAAATATTTAAAATATTAATTAGACATTTTAAGTTTAATTTTATAATAGAAATAATAGCGATTCAAAATGAATTGCGTTAGCTTACAAACTTGAAAATTGTGTTAGCATCAGTTCTTAGTTCTCCCTCCAGAAATTCAAAACATAGTTTAGTATTGGATCATACTGTTTTGGAAACAAGTTTTTATATTGAACTAGTAAGCAGAAGTCCTACTTATTATTCATAAAGAATTATTTTGTTCTGCTTTAAGATTTTAACTTCTATTTTGTAATAATGTTAAAAATGAAAAAAAAGTAGAATGAGGAATATCTATAAAAATACCAATCAAGTAAACATTGTTCATTAACTGTGACTCACTTTAGACTGTCCAGATGTAGTGTTTGGAGAACTTAATCTCTTTTATGAGAAAAGTGGTCTAATACAGTGTTTCCAAATTTGTGATGCATAGATCATAATGCAGAGTTACAGCAGACTGTCTCCAGTGCAGCTATCAAAATAAACTCAGGTTTATATTTAAAATAGCCAAAAATCTCACAAGATTGCTCATTATCAATTCTAAATATTTAATTTTGGAATCTAATGGAAACTTCTTGTGCCAGGATACCTATGTCATTATGTTGCTGATTCCTGGTTTATGTAATAACCCTTGACAAGTTTTCAATGATAATGTCGTGATCTACCTAAAGAAAAAAGTTGGAATTACCAGTCTAGAGATTTGGATAAGTTAAAGAAAATGTACTTGACCCATTTTAAAATGTGGCATTGATTAATGGACACAGATGTTTTTAAAAATGTGAATCTATAACCTGCTCCTCAGCTGTGAAGCCATAATTCACTCATACCTTTCCAGTTTGAATAACAGATGTAGATAAAACTACATCAAAGGCTGTTTCAGCTGCATCTTATCCCAACTCAGATGCTTCAAGTAAGCTGTCAATCACTGCTTCTCTTTCTATTCATTTTCATGAGTTGCCTCATTTTAAAAAAAATGGCTTTCAAAAAAGTGCATTGCAGCTTCAGGCACCAAGTAACTTTGATGTGATACTGTACTCCATAACATTGTTTAAACATTATATTAAAACTAAGAAAACAATTACATATTTCAACTGGCATTTCAATATGTTATGATTAATTAAGTTGAATTGAAGGGTTCATTAGGTCACATAAAACATTATACTTTAAAATATATGTATAGTTCAGTTATTCTCCTCCAGCCCCAGCTGCTATGACCAATAAATCACTCCATCCAACAAATGGGAGTGGTTTTCTAAGTAAGCTTGAATTTAGAATTCTTTACTATATTATGACATTCTACAGAGATTTCACTGTATATTTGTTTGATTTGTTATTCTTGTCAGTGTTTTTAATGCAGGAAAATTACGCTGTGTGACATGTCTTCTTCTGCATGGGACTGTCCTGCCTTTAAGAAATAAGATTTTGGAATTTGTATGTGTGCAATGGCACAAAAAAGCCATGTACTGACATCCTTTTGACAGATACTAAATATATGAATATCACAATTCTGATCTTTTGTATGTATCATATTAGCAAGAAGCAATGCAGACTGCCTGATGTCAAAGGGAATGTATGAATCACATGTACATCAAGAAATAAGTCATATCTGTACTGTTTTCATATAAA